TGTTTTTTTTTTTTTCGCAAATGCATCGAATTAATCTAAAAAATAACCACAACACAACAGAGAGCGCTAAGATTGACACAACCGTTGAACACCGTTCGAATGGTCGAAGAATAAAAAGCGTGTTTTGTCTCGTTTTAAAGCTTTTATATCGACATGTCGCGATGAAGGTCGTGAGGCAAAAAAAAAAAACTAAAGAAAAGAGCACCACCTCAGGCACTTGATAGCAACTAAATCTCAAGATCAGCAGAACAGTATATATATTTTAATATATATATGTATAGATATGTACAAAAGGTGAGGGGGGGGCGGCCTTTACACGTAGCATAAGGGCGATGGCTTCAGCCACATAAAGCAGTTATTTAGTGATTACAAAGGTCTAATTTTCCAGGACAATCCTCTCGCTGTATGTCGCCACTCTTTGTATTGTTCACTGAAGGCCAAATACACATTAAAGATTCAAGAATTTTCGTTCCTTTTTTTTTTTTCATTGACTGCAACCAAACATTTTGTTCCACTCGGTGTACATGTCAAGTTCTTTTTGTGATATGCTCGGCTGAAATTTGCAAAACACGTTGTCAAAGTCTTGGTAAGAGACGAGTCTCATTTGACTCGGATGAATTGACAGGTCAGTACCAGCGATACCATGGAGAGGACTCACTAGAGCCTCCTGACAAAGCTGGGCCACGTCCAGTCCTGAAAAGCCCTCTGTCCTCTGAACCAGCAGTGACATCTCTTTGTCACTCAGACAGTAGTTATTCTGCGAGAGCAGCTGGCTGATTATCTGGTGTCGTGCCGTTCCATCGGGCAAGGGGATGAGCAGCCGCTTGGTAAAGTACCTCCGAAGGGACTCTGGGATCTCTTCAGGCTTACTGGTGGAGCACACCACCAGGACATGTTCCTCAGCGGAGGTCAGAACACTGTCAAGCTGCATGAGAAGTTCAGCCTTGAGGCGATTCACCGGGCTTTCCTCGCTGAGCTGGGCCGACAGCAGAAGGTCCACGTCGCTGATGAACACCACGGCCGGCTGCCGGCAACGGGCCACCAGGAATGAAGCCTGGATGATTTTGTCCCCTTCCCCCAACCATTTTGTAACCAGACTTGTACTGTTGAGTCTCAAGAAAGCAGCCCCAAGTTGGCTAGCCATGCAGCGGGCCAGGAGTGCTCTGCCGGTTCCCTGAGGTCCAAACAAAAGGAGGCTCCGGGGAAAGGTGGCAAGTCCGCTAAACATATCTGGCCTTAAAATCGGCCATAGTATCTCCTCTTTGATGGCAGCTTTAACCATATCTAGACCTGCAATGTCACTCCAGTCCACAGGAGGGCACTGCTGAAGGATTTCACTGGTTACCATCTCCACCAAGTTGGAATCACTGTTTTTTAGCTGCTCCTCCGCAGCGTGGACAGATGAGGTAGCCGTGCCGAGCGAATGAGCGAGATGCTGTCTGTGCTCTTCAGTTTGCTCACTCATAATCGGTGATCCAAACTTGCCGTAGGGCTCTGCGGTTCTGAGGTCGCCCACAGAGCTTTTGGTGGAACTATACGACGGAGGAGTCAACGCTCGGCCGGAGTGCATGCTGAATTTTCTTTGATCAGAAGACATCGTTTGTTTCGTTGGTTTGAACGCTTCAGTATTTCTCTCGAAGCCGTTGCCTCTGTTAGAGTCTGTGACACTGCTGTCTGGTGCTCGGTACATTGGGCTGTGTGAAGAGCGCTGTTGGCTGTAATTGAAGTTGCCGTAGCTAGAGTCCATATCTCCATGTCCGCTCATGTAGAAAGCTTTCCGTTTTAACGAGTTGGATGTGCTGCCGTTCAAAGGTGTTAGTGCAATTGGTGTGTGATTATGGGACTGGTAGGTGTAGCCAGGCAGTGTGGAAGGGGGGATTGGTGTGGGGGCCGCAATGCCGGATGGCAGATAAGCAGAAGGAGGAGGCGCTCCCCCAGGGCTGTAACCAGGGCCAACAGCAGTCTGGGAAGGGTAACCTGTCGGAGGATAGTTGTAGTTTGGGAGGTTCGGAGACCCGGTGTTGTAGCTTGGCACTAAGGACGGGGGAGGAGGGGGAGGCGGTGGCTGTAAGAGCCCAGCGCTGTGCAAAGGAGAAGGATGCGGGGAGGGGAGAGCTGGGGTGTTCTGCCCACTGTAACTAGAATGTAAGTAGGAGCCGTTGTAAGCGGCAGTGTATTCCTGAGAGGAGAGGCCCGAGTGGAGAGTGGTGGCTGTGTGGCTCCCACAGTTACTGCTGGAATAGCTGGGCTCAGACAGGCTGCTGGCCACCCCCGGGGAGCTGCCTATACTGGCCGACACATCTGTAGGGGGTAAGGCAGCTGTCATTCCAGCTTTGCTCACAGATATAACATCTGGAGCACAGTTCATTGGGTAAATCCCCTCCTGCCAGGACTCATTCTCTGACTTTCGTCCGTTCATGAGTCCGGTGTTGCTCTCAGAGTAGGAACACAGCAGGGCTCTTTCATTTGGGCCCTCTAGGATCCCAGAGTACTTTTCTGCGTATTTCTTCAGCAGATTTGAGGCAGTCAGTGCAGAGATGTCATCGTTGGCCCAAGCGTACTGGTATGTTCTCTGCAAGTGCCCTCTGTAGGCTTCTACTTTGTGTGCTGGTGAGCGGGTAGTGGACGAGATGTCAAAGTGTTGCTCGGCCCATTGTGTGTGCTCCGGGGTCCACTGCATCTTTAGACCTAGATGTTCCACAGAAAGAAGAAGTGTGTCAGAGTAAGTCACTTGAAAGATTTTTTTTTTCTCTCAAAACATAACCAGATGTTTGGTGAGATTACAAATATAAATTCCTTCAACAAATGTAACGACAAAGGTAACACTGTGAGGGACACAGAAGAGAAACAGACACCAGTGGGCATTCATGACATCACTTGCAAATCAGCAACAACAGTTAGCATCTAAAAGTATTTTCCGCTAGCTTAGCTACTGTATTCCATGTCGACTAATTTCTCAGCACCAATGGTAAATTACAAGTGGCAGATCTGCAACAATTTACTAATGCATCACTATTAAATTAATTAAAATCTAATGTCTGCCAAAATATTTGAAAATGTTGTAACAAAAGGTCAGAAGAATATATTCATCAACATTTTTTAAAAAATGTCTGTCTATTTTAATATATATGTTTGAATATGTTTCAAACAGTTGTCTGTCTATTTTAATATATGTTTGAATATGTTTCAAACAGTCCATCTCTCTGGCACACGACTACCAGACTGATCATACATCATGGTTAGTGTGAGTGTGTGAGACCTAACACCTCATATGTGCGGTATGATCCACACAACACACAGCAGAATGACAGAGACATTGCGGGTCAGTCTATAATCCAACCCTCATCTGAGCCGTTCTGAGACACTTTCAAATCTGCTTGGAGGAGCGCAGTAAAGCAATCTTCCTTGGCAGCGCTCTGTTGCTTTCATCACACAAACTCCTCAGCCCAGCATGAATTATATTCACATCCAGTCTGCCTGCTGCTTCCTACTGCTCAGAGTGAGGGAGGAGAAGAAAACATGCTTCACTTCTTTTTCTCTGCAGCCTTTTTGTGAGGGAATGGCATAAATGACATGTTGAATCGTTAATTCATTTTCATGATAATTAGTCATAATAAAACCCAGAATAATTAAACTGAGATAAATATTGCACTTGCATTAATCAAGCTACAAATAATGTATAAGATGAAGCCATGGCTCCCAGTGCTGCACCATGGTCACTCGATTTGCAGATGATGTACCGCTATACATTATAGTCCAGTAAACTGGATCACAGGATTAAAGTAAATAAAAAAAGAAACACTCTTCCTCCCTGTCCAGAGACAGACCAGACTCCCTTCTGACTCCCCTCCAGCTAGTTGCCCACCCAGCACACTAGACACCAAGAGCTAATTAGCAGAATGATGCTGCACTAATTGTGTTAATCTAGGAGGTTTTAGTCAAAGAGATCTCTTTTATGGCTCAAACGGTTGTCAGCTATCCAAACTAATGATTAATTAAGAGAGAAAAATCCTGAGCCAAAAATACCAGAATCCAGACTATGGTAGACATTCTGATGTCATATCCATCCCGCAAGATGGAAATGCACAACATTTACATGACATTTTTACATTTCATGACCTGGCACTACTTCTGCACACAAAATTCTGTGATCCCTTTAGCAACTCAGAAACATGACAATATTTCTCCAGAAAAAAAACAAAACCAACTAAAATGAGCAGTGTGATGTGTGTTTACCACTGTAGGCGTCCACAGTGGAAGCCAAGGATCAGGATAATGGTTTTTGTAAAAATCACTCAGATGTGTTTATTAACACTCAGAGCACATTTTGTCAATAGCAAAATTGCACACGGCTCATTGAGTGATATTCCACTATTACCGATAATTCCCTGCCACTTTACACAATCACCGGAGAGCTACTTGCAAAGTGTACTTGAGATCTTAAAGTACCGGGTATTTTGTAGAATTTCGAGGGGACCGTCTTCGTGCAGCGTACCGCGAAAGACAGGCCAATAAAATACACACATGTGCCACGCTAGTTCTGGGGGAAATAAACATAGAATTAGAAAAAAAAAAAAAAAACGCATAGAAGAAGTGTGTTTTCATAAAGCGTACTATGTTTACAAAAACATTACATTAATAAATGATTATAGAGCATATTTTTACAATTTTACTTTGATTCAGCATTAATAAATGATTATAGAGTATATTTTTACAATTTTACTTTGATTCAGTTTATTCCTATATATTTACTATTATTTTTATATTTTTTTAAACTATTTTGTGAAATAGCAAATTCAAGGAATATTTTTCTGTTACCTGTTCCTCTCATCAACCATCACCAAACAGGACCTTCATTACCTTGAGTTCTTGTTTGTCTGTTCACGGCCCACAGTTATCATAAAAGAAAATGATATATCATTCAGGGTGGCTCACCAGCCTTGGCTTCCTCCCTAAAAATGCTTCAGAATTGTCGCTGTTATGACTTTAAATATTTATTACTGTAATCTTAAACACATAAAGGGAAAAGAGATCAGCAGGATCAGACATGCATTTTGGCACATGAGTCCAGCCGTGCTACGCTTGGAGGTGGTGTTTAATTTCTGGTTCAGTGATCATCATCCATGAAACAGAGATGCTGACCTTTTTGGGGAACTATTAATCTGGTAGCCTGGGCCGTTTTTAAGCAAACAAGAGTGGGCCTCCACTCTGTCCATCCAATTTCCCAGTGCGTAAATTGGACCACCGCTTGCACAATTCTCTATTCATTACTGTGCTGCTGAAAGGAAGCACAGAGGTGGCAGAGTGGTTTTCTTTTCCTTTTTCTCTGCATGTGTGTGTGAGTGAGTGAGTGAGAGAGAGA